ATAGAAAGGAATTAATCGGCCAACTAAAAATATATAGAAAAGTCCCACCTTGGTATATCTTTAAACAGCTACTAAGGCCACGGAAGACCAGTCCCGGGCGGGAAATGACTGTCCCGTCCTGTCTGGGCTGTGGGTCTCTCTGTCCTGTCCTGTCTGGGCTGTGGGTCTCTCTGCCCTGTCCTGTCTGGGCTGTGGGTCTCTCTGTCCCTGTCCCGTCTGGGCTGTGGGTCTCTCTGTCCCATCCCGTCTGGGCTGTGGGTCTCTCTGTCCTGTCCCGTCTGGGCTGTGGGTCTCTCTGTCCCGTCCTGTCTGGGCTGTGGGTCTCTCTGTCCCATCCTGTCTGGGCCGTGGGTCTCTCTGCCCTGTCCTGTCTGGGCTGTCAGTCTAGTCTCTGTGTCCTGTCCTGTCTGGGCTGTGGGTCTCTCTGCCCTGTCCTGTCTGGGCTGTGGGTCTCTCTGTCCCGTCCTGTCTGGGCTGTGGGTCTCTCTGCCCTGTCCCGTCTGGGCTGTGGGTCTCTCTGCCCTGTCCCGTCTGGGCCGTGGGTCTCTCTGCCCTGTCCCGTCTGGGCCGTGGGTCTCTCTGCCCTGTCCCATCTGGGCTGTGGGTCTCTCTGCCCTGTCCCGTCTGGGCTGTGGGTCTCTCTGCCCTGTCCCGTCTGGGCCGTCAGTCTAGTCTCTCTGCCCGCCGCAGCCGGCAAGGCGAGAACAAGGCCGCAGCTCCGCGGCGCCAAAATGAAACTCGGCCCAGTGGCAGTGGCCTTTCCGGGTGCCGGCTGCCTGGGACTTGGTGCGTGCGTGCGGCGTCCAGCACGCCGTGACCCCCGCCGCTCCTCCAAGTGCCCGTCACGCGGGGACTGCGGTGTGGACGGGGGATCCCGCGCTCCGTCGCTGACAACGTCCCAGTCCTTCCGGCTCGGTTCTGGAAACACTGAGCGATGACACAGCACAAGGACAGGACAGCCTTGTCACCTGTGCCCAGATGGCCGACGCGGCCGGTCCCTTGTCCGTGTGTGGCCAGGAGGGACACACTGAGCCCCGCGCAGGAAGCAGGGACGATAGAGCTCAGGGCTCAGGGCGACCATCCATGATAATGTTCGCTTGTCTAACAGGAAGCTTCCCGGGAGAGAAACCGAGTTATGGGACACTCCACCCTTTTGCAGGAAAATACTGCCTGTGTTCTTTGCTTTTTGTTTTGTTTTTTTTTTTGTTTGTTTGTTTGTTTGTTTCTACCCCCTGTGCCTTTTTTCTAACTCTAGATTTGTAGGAGAGGTAATTTTTTTTTTTTTTTTTTGAGACAGAGTCTTGCTCTGTTGCCCAGGCTAGAGTGAGTGCCGTGGCGTCAGCCTAGCTCACAGCAACCTCAGACTCCTGGGCTCAAGCGATCCTCCTGCCTCGGCCTCCCGAGTAGCTGGGACTACGGTGCACCCAGCTAATTTTTTTCTGTTTTCCGTAAGAGACTGGGGTCTCGCTCTTGCTCAGGCTGGTCTTGAACTCCTGAGCTCAAAACATCCGCCCGCCTCGGCCTCCCAGAGTGCTGGGATGACAGGCGTGGGCCACCGCGCCCGGCCCCAAGTTTGCTGTTTGAAGAGCTTAGTTTATTTCTTTGCGAAGCTTCTACACACAGTTCCACCTGGTCATTATGTTTAGCGTGCGCCTTTTTACCCACCTTTGCTTGGGGTTTCGGGTAAGGAAGAGCTTTGGCACTGAGAAGGAGAGTGAAGTTTGGGGCTTGGGCTTTTTGTTTCTGTTGTTGTTTTTTTTCTTTAACCTAGAAACCTAGGGATGCCCCCA